AAGACTTTAGCCAACAACAGAAGGCATTTATCCTTGTGGTAAACCCAACAGAGTGGTGCATGTCCCACACATGCATTCACCTGCATGTTCGGTAATTTCTTTTCTAATTAGTACATATTGTTTGCCGCCATTGTGTTCGTATCTCATGCCACCTTTTGGGGTGCTGCTATAACACAATCCATATCTCAAGTCCAACCTTTCTAATTAGTTGCCCATTACGTACTCCTTGCCCTTGTAGGGTTCACAACAACCCCAGTACCCGCAATCCAGCCGTCTCCTTACCTGGAAGCTTCATCGGTCCCTCTCGCAGTTCCAGCCGGCAACCCGGAAAGGTTGGTCTGCCCAGGCTTTAGGTGCCCTCCCTTTGGTTCATACTTTCGGAGTATATGCCCTTTTCCTCTGGACTAGATATCATACCTATAGCCTAACTAGAAAGCTATCTATTTAAACTCTCTGGCTTCAACTGATATTACATATTTTCTCCTAATATATCTCCATATGAAAAGTAATTTACTGTGTAAAACCCTAAGACTTTAGCCAACAACAAAAAGCATTTATCCTTGTAGTAAACCCAACAGAGTGGTGCATGTCCTACATATACATTCATTTGTTTATTCAATAATTTTTTTCTAACTAGTACCTGTTGTGCTGCCATTACCAAGTTTGTATCTCAAGCTAACTTTTGAGGTGCTGCTATAACCCAATTTGTATTTCAAGCCACAACCTTCCTAATTAGGAGTCCACTAAAGCCTTGTATCTATGTGACTTTTATATATAGATCAACCAATTAAAATTATAAACTTTGTTTACACAGTTTAATCTGAAGAAGTCAAAAAATCAAAATATGAAAAACGGTAGTCTAAACCTGTTTTGTTGTATTAATAAAAAATGTCAGAAGGCAATTTTATTTATAAAACTACTCTTTCCCTAATACTAAATTAACCCTAACCCTAATTACAATTAAAACTTCAAAAATTATATAGGTACAAAGCTTTAATAATCTCCCTAATTAGTTGTCTATTATATACTCCTGCCCTTGCAAAGTTTACAACAACCCCAGTACCCTCATTATCAATCTTTATCTTTTCTATAAACTTGCATTAGTCCCTTTCTTACTTCCAGCCAGCAACCTGAAAAAGTTGATCTGCCCAGGCTTTAGGTGCCTGAAGGATGCCCTCCTCTTGGTTCATACTTTCGGAGTATATGTTCTTTTCTTCCAATGCAACAACTTGGCAGTTTGGCTGGTGTATCCTCTGCCATAGGACCTAGTTGCTCGGTTTTCTGATCTCAAGCCCCCATCCAAATTTAGCCTTCATGCAGTACTATCAAAGATCACTGTTACTCCCAACTTGGAACTTCCCAAATAGGTTTTTGGTTATGCCAGTTTCTTGGATTTATTGTGCCAAAGCTTCTATTTCTAGATGGTGTAACTAAAGTTACAGATTTAGTTCTAGATCCAACCGATAAGCATAACGAAACACAAGCCTATTTTTCAAATATCATCATCCGTGGGATTCGAACTCTAGACCTGCTACTTGGAGATGGATAGTTTATATTTTATCGTATTAGCATCACTATACGTATCGCCCAATGCAAACAGGTAATCTTTTCTATTGATTTCCTGTTTTAATTTAACGATACTGCCATCTATATATTGTGTACGTACATATTGCGTAATAGTCCTGATCACATAATTCTAAAAACGAAAATTTCTAGAATTACGTTACTGTTTACGTTCTTGTGTAATTTATTGTAACGGTAAATAAGTTTATCCGGTCAAATTATACATTTCGGGTAGCTTAATGATACTCAGGAATGCAGGAGTGGGAAAGTATATAAAAAGGCTAAATGATTTTCATAAATTGTGAAATGCTTTCACTTTATGCGTAATTCATAATTGATTATGACAGATACGACAAAATCTACCACTAATAATAATGAAGTGATAACAGAAGCGATTATAAATGAGGATTTACTGAATTCAGATGAAATATTACAAAATGATGAATCAAAATTAAATCATGATAAAATAGATAAAAATGGAGTAAAATATTCAAAAAATTTAGAAATCGGAGGGAAAAAAGTTTTAGTGGTAGAAAATGAAGATCAAGTATTAAGTGGAAAAACGGCACCCGACTGTTGTATCATGGGATCACCTAAACATGTAAATTAAAAAAAAATTTTTCGGACCTGAATCTCTATTTCGTATTTAAATTAAATAATTAAATAATTAAATGTACTGATTAGGTCGCAGCATTAAAAGCCAAAATAGAAGAATTGAAATTTAATTCGGCTCGCTTAGAACAGGAACGTGCAGAAGCATTATCAAGATCAGAAGGCGTAACTAAACAACTTGATAAATTAGTTGAAGAATTAAATGAATTAGGCAAAGGGAGTGAGACTAGTGATAATTCAGAACGAACTATTCATGCAACAAGTAAGTATTATAATTTGTTGTTTAGACCAACTTATTTATAATATTTTGACATAAGCCTTTAATATTTATCGTTATTAGTCCATACATTCGGAAAATTACAAAAATTGGAAATTATAGCTGACGATGATGATGGTGAAGGATTAACGGTAATTAAAATTGAAATTTTACTAATCATTCATAATAAAGTAATAAATTTTATTTTATTTCAGAGAAAACCAAAAGTTAGACAATATTGGTATAAAGGTGCCTTGCATAGAGAGGCTGATGAAAGATCAGCTAGTTCTACGGAATTATTTTGGGATTTGATATTTGTGGCCGTGGTTAGCAATTTAGGATATATGTTGACGTCTGACATTTCTATAAATGGTTTGCAAAGATTTTTCCTAACCTTGTAAGAGTTTACTATATAAAAATTTAATGCCTCAACTCGATGGGCGTAAATAAAAGATGTTTACTTATTTTTCATATAATAATAATATATACAGTTATCCTATATGGCGGTTGTGGACGGATACGTGTAATTATTTAAACGTATATAGTTCAGGTACAATTTCCATAAGTCTTTGTAACTGTAATTTTGTATTTTGATTTCGTATAAATTTAATTTTGATCTAAAACTGACAGAGGATCTTATTGAAAAGTTTCTTCTTCTATGGGTAGGTTCTAATGTACAACTTTTAATAATCTATCTTTTAGTTTAAAAGTGTTATTAATTATTTTCATAACAGGAAATGATACTTCTAATTGCAATGGGTACTCACGCGTCGGATATATTTAATTCGACAGCAGCCATCTTTATTTGTATGTTTTTTATTCAAATGACGATTTATCTTTATAAAATTCATGTAAATTATTCAATGTAATGCTTATTTATTTTATTAAATATTTCTTTTTCATATTTTAGCGTCCTACGTACTTGCACGCATAACATATGCGTTCTTGTATGTAATATTTTCGAATTGGATTCCAATGTTTCGAATACATTTTATTACTACTGCATGGGGAATTGCTATTCCTTCTGTCCTTTGGTTTACTGCGATTTTTGTACCACAAGACAAAGTTATTATTATATTGTGGGCTGCTGTTTTATTTGGTTTGTTGGATTTCATTGTTATTATTTTTTACCGAAATTTTTGATTTATAAATTAAATTAAATTAATTTAATTAAATTATAAGAAATATTTTGGTACGGTAAGCTTCACGAATTATGTACAGTTTATACTTTTTGTAAAGTTCAATATCATGACTTATCAATTATATTATATAGGTTTTGTGCCAATATATTATCGTTTCGGAACTAAGAATCCGGCGAATCACATACATACGAGGGATTTTGAAATTGCAGACGGACCAATATTGACAATGGATTCAACCAGATCTTCTCCAATTAATCCACATAAGGCAATGAAAACAAAAGGAACAGAATTCAGTTGGAAATGGACTGATATGTTTTCAATACTTAAAATCACTGAATATAGAACTGCCTTGAATATTGAACATTGGAGTGAAAGATTAGGGTTATTTGCGGTCGTTTGTTTGGGTGAAAGTGTAGATATTATTCTTCTAATTTATGCTTGTACTTGTCTATAATTATAACATATTGAAAAGCTAATAATTTCGTAGATTTTTAGCGTGATTTATACTAGCCTCAATCATTACCCTGATGTTTTTCTTGCCAAGGTATAATCTATCATGGACACATTTTATTTAAACACCATTACCATTATAATTAACAATTACCTGATATAAGGCAATTCTAGGTCTAGTAATAGCTTATGATTTGCATTGGATATATTTTGATGTCGATGCGAGCAGACAATATCAGCATGCATTACGAAGGCATGTTATTACTGGTATCTTATTTGGATTAGTTCATGTCCCTCTTGTAAGAACATTTTTCCTAAAAATTTATCGTTAACTTTGGTTAAATACGTATATAATTTAATTTTTATACTCTAATTATTTATCAACAGGACATGTCTTTAATTGCTTTTGGGTATGTTTGTCTTTGTTTTTTTTTGTCACAGATTTTAATGTATAACGAGATTAACATATCTAACCTTTATAGGAGTTCTCTTGGAAGAATTGTAACACTTGCTGATTTCCCCGATGCCGCAGATACTCCTAAGCCTATTAATTTAAGGAACGAAGAAAGTCTCGACGAATTTTCAACTGCGCTTGCCGTATTGTTCTGTTCCTCATTAGCAATTGCAATGTATTGTATGGCTATTATCGGCACTTTACATGAAAGTTTGGACGCTGTGGATTGTACAAAACTTACAAAGGTGAATAATAATATTTCCAATAATAAATATCGGTTTTTCATAGTTGATTACATATTTATAAATGTGTGTTTTTTTTTTAAAGACTACGCGTATATCACTACGATTTATTATTGGCACATTATATCTACTATTACCACTTGCGCATTTAAACTCTCTAAATCTATTAATCACTATAGCAATCTCATCCATGTTCATGGTATTGGTAGAAACATATGGTAGGTTAAAGAGAAATGCACCATTATTTAACAGCAAATGTGAAGTAAATGATCGTGAATATGAAGAAGAGGATAGTAAAAGAAGATATATCCGTTGGAGATGGGGTTCCGCAAATTTAAATAAACGTAGATTTTCAGTCGGATTCTTTAGACAAAAGAAGATGGATAAAAATGAAAAGATTGGAGATAGTAATAATGATGATAATGTAGTGTAGTTGTAAAAAGAATAAGTAATAATTTAAGAATTGAAATGTATTTATTATAATTTGTTTTATCTTAAATAATAATTAATAATAAACATATTCATAACGTATGAACTGTAATAATGATGATAATGTAGCGTAGTTGTAAAATTATGTAATAATTTATGAATTGAAATGTAATTATTATAATTTGCTTTATCTTAAATAATAATTCATAATAAACATATTCATAAAGTATGAACAGCATTGTAAATGCATTTAATTATAAAACTCTTCCAATTCAGAGTCTTTGAGTTCATTGATCCACTCGGCATCTATTTGATCATCATTCATATGTACATCGGGTTCATCGTTTGTAAATGATTGTCCAGGATCGCTTGAAAGAGCTGTGTGTATTATTGTTTCAAATTTTTCCTAGCGTTCAAAAAACTATTTTTAATAGTTGCAGGAGATATTTATTAATAAAAAGTAATGAATTACCAATCTCCATTCATCTATCCATCTACCAAACATCGCATATCGTTCACTATGCGTCATTCGGAGGAATTCAGGCATGGATATGGCGGTTAAAATAATTTGTGCGGTGAATGGATTAATCAGTGGAGAAAAGCATGACAAAAATCTTTCATGCTTTGATTTCATAAATAAGATTAAGTAAAACAAACATTCTTGTCAAATGAACAGAAAATTTAAAATATTACCAAACTTTCTTCCATAGTCATCCAATCTCTACTCTCCCATTGCTGACGATCTTTCACTCTTTCTTCTTCACACTTTGATGCACAAAGATCACCTATCAATCTCGCAAGTCTTGCGGACATTTCTTCACAGGGAGAAAATATTATGTGTGCATCACACGAATAACGCGTTAAGATGGCCTGTAATCCTGCAACAGCCTTTAAAACGGGTAAAGTAAATGGATACGGAAGAATGTATAATCCCGTATCGCTGTCGTTGGTTGTTCTGTTATTCCATGTGTAAGTCTCGAAAATCACGTATAAGCTTGAATATTTTTGTGCGAGACGAATGATTGTTCGAGTAATGGTTGGGACGGATTGTTCTTGAGATATTAAATTGAGAGGGTAGTATATAATTCCAGTCCTCCCATCTATAATGAGATCGCAGTCTATATAAGGAGTTTCTAATTCGTCATCTGGTAACAAAGGCTGTAGTATACATGACAGAAGTTTATTAAGCTGATATAGAAAGTTGATATAGAATAATGTACAAATTCCGATAATTTACTCTCATGTATTCGAAATCACGTTCAAAAACTTCAACCTTGCAGTAAATACTTTTTAAAGCTGATAACAAGCCACGATTTGCCAAAAGTCGAGCTGATACTATGTATTTATGAGTAACTACTGGCATTGATATATTCTCGATAATGGTTCTTGCCACTATTAGAAGATACGTATAATTATTATGATGTGTTCTGTAGTTATTGATATTTTATTGAATGTTTTAGAATACTTACTAACGTGAGCATTCTGCACATTTTTATTACTTTTGTCACTGTCAGTAAGCTGTGACCCCGAAGGGACTAGGTGTGGATAACGAGTATGTCTGTCGTTATTGTTTGGCGGTTTGATACTGGGAACTACTTGTTTTGATTCTTTTGTGCGAAATTTTGTAATAGTTATAAATCATTTCTTTGAAATGAATGGAGCAAAAGTTAATTTACCTTTACCTTCCCCGCTTTTGATTGCGAAATGAAACCTTTTTTTTAATTCAATATCTCGACGTTCATTCGGTGTAATTTTTCCTCGCAGAATCAAGAAATCATCTATTGACTTTTTTGCCGAAAAAGTACCAGATTTGAAATCATTTGGTTTGGTAAAAGAATCTTGTACATTCTTAAAATCAAACAATGTTTTCGACGAAACATCATTACATATGGAGGAAGTATTTCGAAAGATATTAAAGTTCTGCTGTTCATTAGAGTACAATGAAGAATTCTCAACTGGGACTTCACCATCAGTAGGAGAAAAGTCAGATAAATCTACATTATTTGTGTGGACATCGTTATCCTTATTCACCGAAATCGATTCATCATAGCTGGAAAGCCATTTTATGACTCTATCTGCGCTAGATAAACCGGGTATGTCGGAAGAAATTTTCATTTTTGACGGTATAATGTCAGTCTGTAGTAAATCGCGGATATCAGCGGAATTGCCGACAGGAACCTCTTTTTTTTTATGATTAGATTTAAGGTGGGATTGATGTGGAATGTTTTTTGCAAGCGTCTCTTTGCAAGAACCTGTCATAAAATTGTTGTTATTGATACACCTTGGTGCTATCAAAGAAGCTTCTTCTTCGAGTTCTAATCTTTTTGACTTGTGACCACTTTCATGCTTTTCTTTTTTCCTTGTTATCAAATGTGAATCATGAATTTCAAAAAATTGCACATCTATCGTATCCAAAATATCATCACTGCTAGCACAGCTACATAGATCATTAAGAGTGTCTGACATCTCCTGAGATGAAGGCTTCATGTTGACGACTTGTTCAAATTCTATCTTAGAGATATTTTTTTTAATTGGATTCCAATGCAACTCAAACTCTAAAGCTTTCATTCCACTAAATGATGTCAATATTTGAAAATCAGAATGCAATGAATTTGGACGCGCAATTAAGTCGGAAATTTTAGTTGGTATTAAAGGGAACGAAGCGCCATCATCATCATTTGCACTTCCTCTAGTGATTTGTGAAACAGGATGCGGTATTTGCGGAACTTTTTTTTTTTTTTAAAAAAAAAAAAAGATTAAAAAGAGATCAATATTTTGATAGACTTTATGATATAAATCATTAATTAAAATTACTCTTGAATTTTAATCCTTCTAGTTCATCCATTGATTGCCGCATAATGACAGATTTCCAATTTTCATCAGGGTTTTCAACTTTTAGCATCTTCTCAAGATCTGACTGAAGCGCTGTATGATCATCTAATTTCTGATGCATGAAGGTATCATCATCTTCAGATACCACAGACTTGATTGTTTGTGCTAAAGATTCCGTTCTAAAGTCAGGATGTTTATACGTTAAGCATACCTTAGAAAAAATACAGCATATATTGAAATAAGAAAAAAAATACATTGTCACGTCTTTGTCAGTCTCTGATCCAAAATCGGTTTTACTAAATATTAATTATAAATATAATTGATATTAAACACTGGACTAAATTATCAAACAGTAATATTTCCTTACCGTCGTTTTCTATGATCTATCTCCAAAGGATCATATTTTACAGGTATCATTGCGGGTTCTTTGTTTATTAAACGGTGAGATACAAGTTAAATTTAAGCCATCATACACATTATGACTGTGTAGGTAAAATGCATGAGCAAAACACACGTATATATATACCTAATTGAAGGGTCTCGCGGGAAGGCAAAAATAAATCAATTGGAATATCAAATTCTACACAACCATAATCTGGAATTTCCTCAATTTCAAGGGTTGATTCATCAATTCTTTCTTATGAAATAAAATGAATAAATGATGGGAATAGTTTAAAAAAAATGGATAATAGAAATCATGTACGCTACCCCATTTATTTAACATCTCTAAAGGTGCTTTTACACCAGTTTCCTCAGGAACCAATTGATCATTCTTAATGTTTACATTAATATCATTTATAATAAAGGGAACAACTTCAATAATTTTAGTTGGCAGATCTTGTACGCTTTTATTGGCTTTTATCGAAATTAGAGGTTCTTCAATGTAATGATTCTCAAATTTCAATTCTTTGACAGAAACAATAAAATCATTATAGTTGCGAATGTCATTTTCCTTTAAGAATGACATAATATTTGTAATATCATCTACCACTTCTTCATGATGTGATAAACTTGTAAATCAAAGAAAAAATATTTAAAATTCTGAAACTGAATAGATTGTACGCCTAATGGTTGATTAAGAATACTATACCATAAATCATCCAATGTAAATCGTTGCATCTCGCTTTCTATGAAAGGTTCAGAAGAGACATCCGTAATCGGTAGTTTATTGGATAATTGTTTTAAAGTCGGTATGGGATACAGATTATTCTTTTGTATGCTACTAGGAAGTATCGGCTCTTCCATAAAATGAGACTCGCGAGTAGCTACATCTTTTAATAAAAAGAAAAATAAACCATAAATAATTCAAAATATTTTTTGCTTATATTAAAGAAATTAATTGATACCTTCATAGATGTCACAACATAGATTTAGATCTTGAATCTTGAGGTCGTCTAACACCTCTGTAAAGCAAATGGTTGCATCCAAATCATTTAAACTCCATTTTCCCAATAATTGATGTTTTATAGATTGTTCACTTTCAGAAACTAAAAGTAAGATAGATTCCTTTTCATTTTGTGGTACATAAAGGTAATCCAGCTGGATTTGTGCAATTAGTTCTCGCGTATAATCTTTTTGATTTCGCCGTTTATTAAAAGCGAATAATAAATAATACCATAAATTTAAATTTTAAAATTAAATAATTGCATGTTAAAATTCAGGCAGGACAAATGATTATTTTAAAGTACCATCGTTTGGCAAATTCAAAAGTTTAGCACATTCTAACAACTCTACGCGAAAACTATTGTCGTCACCTTCCATTTTGTTTATACGCAAACGTTTAATTTAAAAGATAATTATCTGATGTTTTTCTGGTTATATATTACAATAATGCGTTGCATCACCGATACCGGTGCGTGGCGTGAATAAAACTCCGCAATCTTTACCACATTTCTTAAATTCAATTCTTCCTTCGTTAACATATATTTCTATCAATATCTAAGCCAAAAAGCTTTATGTACGATACCAACTTTTATTTGCTGCAAAAACTGAAATAAACGGTTAAGTAACAGTTAAAAGAAACCGTTTAAGTATTAATAGTTGTAATATAAAACTGATTCAAACGTTTTTAATTAAAGTATTATATACAAATAAAGCTTATTAGCAGTAAACTAATTAATTAAATTTTATAACATTATATTTAAACTAATGTAAATTAACAGATTTATCAGATGTTATAGGTTCATCTTTTATGTTTTGTTGAATTTTTAAGACAACTTCTTTAGCAGCTTGGGGAACTTTAGTACCGGGTCCAAATATTGAACTTACTCCTGCATCGTATAAGAATTTATAATCTTGATGTGGAATAACACCCCCAACTACTACAATTTTGTCATTTATACCGAGTCTTTTAAGCTCATTTATAATTGCCGGTATCAGTGTTTTATGTCCAGCTGCTTGTGAAGAAACACCAATAACATGGACGTCATTGTCAATAGCTTGACGTACTACTTCTTCAGGTGTACTGAATAATGGAGATAGATCGACATCAAATCCAAAATCACTGAAAGCTGAAGCAATCACTTTGGCACCTCGATCATGCCCATCTTGGCCACATTTTGCCACTAAAATTCTTGGGTTAACACCCAACTTTTCTTTTGTTTGCTTTATAGTAGAAAGTTAATATTAGTATATTTATTGATAATTTCTAACAAGTTAATTGAATTGCAATATCTAAATACAATAATAACCTCTACTAGTTTCATTGTCTCTTCTGTTTCGTCTGCAGTTCCATATGCAGATTTATAAGCACCACTGGCAACACGACTCGTTGGTTCGTGACGCCCCCAGACTTTTTCAAGTGCATATGATATCTCACCCACGGTACATCGCGCCTTTGATGCCTTTAATGTCAAAAAAGTCCTGATTACTCTATTTAATTCGGATTATAGGACAAGCTATCGATTTAGATCAATTTAAACGATTTACTGTAAATCGATTTAAATAAATTTAAATCGACGTAAATACTTTACATACTTCAATAGCCAATTCCAATAAATTTCCATTCTGTGTTCTTGCGCATTCTTCTAGAGCGTTTAATGTATTTTGTGCCTAAAAACAAAAAAAAAGTAAGTATCAAACGGTATTATCGAACCAAATATTTTTATATACTAACTAGTGTTTCGTCTCTCGTCGCCTTGGCATTTTTTATACGTTTAATTTGTTCTTCTCTTACTTTAGTGTTGTCAATAGTGCGGACTTCAATTTCTGTCTCTTTTTCAAGTCTATACTTATTTACTCCAACAATTGTCTCTAAATTTCAATATATAATTAATTATTTTGTTTATTTATTTAAACGCAAATAAAAATACGTATTGAAAAAATGTCAACCTTGACCAGAATCGATTCTAGCCTGCCTTCGAGCTGCACTCTCTTCAATTTTTAGTTTTGGCATACCACTTGCGACAGCTTTTGCCATTCCACCCATTTCCTCTACTTCTTCCACAACTTTTCTTGCAGTGTGATAAATTTCATCAGTCAAATTTTCCATCATATAACTACCACCCCAAGGATCAGCAACTTTGGGGATAAAAGCTTCTTCCTGGATAATAAGTTGAGTATTTCGTGCAATGCGGGCAGAAAATTCTGTTGGAAGACCCACTGCTTCATCAAATGAATTTGTATGAAGGGATTGTGTCCCTCCTAACGTAGCAGCCATTGCTTCTATAGTTGTTCTCACAATATTGTTATACGGATCCTATAATAATTAATTAGTGATAATATCACCTAAATAACAGGATTTCAACAAATAGAAACTCACCTGTTCGGTAAGTGACCAACCGGAGGTCTGACAATGTGTACGCAACATTAATGATTTTTTATTTTTTGGGTTGAACTTTTCCTGAACCATATGAGCCCATAAACGGCGAGCAGCTCTCATTTTTGCAATTTCCTATTATTATTAAATTTGTAACGTTAATTGAAGAAAAGTAAAAATCTTAATCTAATAAATTATGATTACCATATAAAAATTCATCCCAATACCCCAAAAGAAAGATAATCTTGGTGCAAATTGATCAATTGACATTCCTGCATTGATACCTATGAAAATTTTTAATTTTAGATGAAGCAGACGCAAAGACATTAAATCTTTTTTTTTAAAAAAAAATCTTTACCTGTTCTAGCATACTCTAAACCATCAGCAATAGTGAAAGCCAGTTCAAGAACATTGTCAGCACCAGCCTCTTGCATATGATAGCCAGATATAGAAATTGAATTGTATTTCGGCATATTCTGCAAAAACCAAAGATAAATAAAAATAAAAACATTCGGAGGAAAAAGCTATTAATTAAAGCTTACCTTTGCAGTGTAAGAAAAAATATCACCAATTAACTTCATTGATGGTTCTGGTGGGTATATGAACGTATTTCGAACCATAAATTCTTTGAGAATATCATTCTGTATAGTGCCAGACAATTCTTTTAATTGAGCACCCTGTTCTAAGCCCGCTACTATATACATGGCTAAAATTGGTAATACAGCACCATTCATTGTCATAGAAACAGACATTGATTTAAGCGGAATTCCATCAAAAAGAACCTAATATTCAAATAATCTTATGAAAAAGCATTGATAAAAATTGAATGACGTATAAGTTTCAAGGCAAACCTTCATGTCCTCTACCGAATCAATTGCAACACCAGCCATGCCAACATCACCCACTACACGTTGATGATCTGAATCATAACTAACATAATAAATAAATTGAAATAAGTGCTAATGCACAATCAATTATAAAAGGTGCAGTTATCATTGAAATTACCCTCGATGAGTAGCCAAGTCAAATGCAACAGAAAGACCTTGTTGGCCAGCAGCCAAATTCCTACGATAAAAAGCATTTGATTCTTCCACAGTACTGAATCCGGCATACTTTTGCAAAAAATATAGTAAAGTAAGTAGATGCTAATTTAATTATAACCATGTAGAACGATCATCACCTGTCGAATAGTCCAAGGCCTTGCTGTATACATAGTAGCATATGGACCCCTTGTAAAAGGAAATTTTCCCGGGATCTCATCTTTAATGATTTCAGCATCTGTTTTTGTATAAACAGGCTTTACATCTATTCCCTATAATTTTTGCAAAATAAAATATTAATTGATTAATTTGATTAGTGAAATCAGATAATTTTGATAATTTAATAAAATCAATATTTACTTCTGCGGTATGCCATGTTAACGCTTTTTCCGGATCTTTGCCTTTTAATTCTTTTAAAGCGAGTTCAGCCCATTCTTTGTCTAAAGGAACTTTAGTTCGACCGACAGATACGAACGTCTAATGAGTTAATAGAACAAAAGCTGACATGAAAATCTTTAATATAAAATTTTCATTTCATTTATTTTATTTTATTTATTCAAATATTCGGCTTTCTATACTTTATGAAAACTTTACAAATTTATCTTGTCAAAATTTTTGCTTTTACCCTTCGTTGCGCAAATCTCGTAAATGCACATCTAAAACCACCAAAAGAGATAACACGTTGCATCTTTTTTTTTTGAAGAGAAATATATAAAACATTTACAAATAGATTTACCAGAGATAAACTCTGTTCCTTTAAAAGAACATCGGTAAAGTTCGTAAAAAGTCAGACCACATCAATTTGCATCAAAGATATCACATGATAAAGTCACGCCATTATCAGGGACCCGGAAAAATGGCCAAATTTATATTGTTAATTTTGCCCGAAGTGGTGTAGTTACACTGCATAAAAAATTGTAAAAATATCGATATTTTTCCGGGTCCCTGGCCATTATCGTTATGTAGCATGAAAAGCACAATTAATTTCTTAAATTTTACAAGACGATATTGATTCATTTTTTGCTATTATTACATCGCGTGCCTCTTGATTCTTCGTAAAATAATATAGAGCGTCATAGGTTTGAACAGTAAACTTCACTTTCCCAGCCAATTGTAGGATAAATGGGGTAATTTGGCGAAGTTAGTAAAAATCTCGCATACCTCGTTATTTATTGGTCCAGACTAAATGTATGTACGTACTGGGGTGGTAACTCAACTAGTAAATCAAAACTATGTCAGCAGTATTAGTAATTTTACTATGATCAGATT